CGAGTGACGGGTCACTCTCATGTAACCCCGTTACACCTCTGATAGTATTGGAGTTCATAGCTTTGAATTATAGATCACTGACTCAAATTTACCGGCTTTGCGAAGCACATTTATGCAGAATACACTGATATTGAAAGCAAAGAGATATTGGCCGGGGTGTCAAGAACGCAGATCGCTATTAGTAGATATACATGTCTTGCAAAAAATACAATTTGAGGCATTTGCATTTGGAAATGCGACTGCCCGACTTGTGGATTTAACAGTAATCGTATGTCACAGTTTTATGCTTTGTCACTCACGAAGCAGAATCGCCTAGGAATTTGTCTACGGAGACGTAAAAAGGTGACGATAGGCCGCGGTCTACAAGCGCGCCGTAGCATGTGCATTTAACCGTCGAGACAGGCGATTGAATGTGGCTAGTAGGTAGACGATGGGTGAAATATTCCTGTAAGAGTCTTTAGGTAGCAGCTTTGCGTGTGCGCACACCGTGCGAGGCTTTGTTTCTTCAAGAATTTGTGACGAGCAGAATTACTTGTGAATTGAAAGGCGTGTGCTAGCTTTTTGTCTCAAGCCCAGATGCAAGCTATAAAGAGGTTGATAATCCCCGTAGAGTTGATTGTTTCATGTTTATGGTTAGAGCGCAAGTAGCTGGCTTGGACACCCCACAAATTTTCTCTAGGATATTGGCATTTGTCAATCCCTAACCATCTTGATCCGCGCAGGACTTGGCCACAAATAATGCAACTCATCGAAGCATCTCATCTACGAGATTGGATGGTCAGCGCCGACAAATACGCTTTGGTATGCTGATGTATAGAAGTTTAGCGTATGCTCACGGTCACTGCTCGTTATATATTTTACAGCCGATCGCTTATTTAGACATTCTGGATGCTTTCTCGCGGCTAATCCAAGCAAATGAGATCGAAATGCATTTTTTTTTTGGATTTCGTTGGAATGTGCTCAAAATAAAGCGCAGCATGTTTCAATGTTAATGCGTCATCAATAACGCGAAAATGGCCGCTCCGAAATTGGTGAGCCAGAAAGAGGTACACATGAGCTTTTTCGTGATAAAGTTGGAATGTTGTTCGTTTTGCCGCGCCCAGCACCCATTTTTAGCCTATTCGAGAAGATTGGTGAGAAAGCGTGCTATGTCGTCATATCCAGCATGGTGCTTTTTGCAAGTCGTCGCTCGGGCAGCGGGTTGGTCAAACAAGTATTGCTATGCCCGCTGCGTTTACTAAAGACCATGCTTCAGAAGGAAGCTCTTTCTGATGTGACTATTTCAGCTATGAAATACACATACGTCTTTTTTTACGAAGAGCTCATTTAAGCACATACACTTGAGCACTGCTCGTTAGCGTTAGACACCCGATTCCTCGTGCTCAGCACAGCTTTAGTCGAATACATTGTCGAATCGTCAAAACATATCCTAGTACGATGCGGTCTAAACAGCTGTGCCATCAAACGGAAAATATTTGCGGGCACCTGAGACAGACCCCAGTTAAGCCACTCACTTCTGGAGTACTCTGTTTGGAGAGCTTACTACAGAGGGAGAGATAGCATATACTTCACTTAGGAAATGAAAAATCCAACAATGAAGCCAAACATGCGGTTTGAGGTACTTCATGCTGAAACATGGCGTGATATTTAAAGGAGTGAGTGCTCGTGCCGGAATGACAACTACATTTAACGAATGCGCTGGAGGAACATATAGTTTCCATCCGTGAACTCGCTGATGTTGAGCGTATGAGTCGGGAAAGGGCATATTTCACCCTCTTGATGACAAAATTTAAATGCCATGGATTCGAACTTGGCCTGAACAAAGTCACTGCGCGTCGTGCTTCCGATTTTTTAAGCTAAAAATTATTCTAGATTCAGACTTGCGTCCTTTTGATCAGAAATCTTTTTCCAACGTGAGACAATTCGAGCGACAGATGTTGCGGTTGCGCTCGTAGTTCTTGTTTAATCGTCAGGGAAGTCGAGAAGTGGCTGGCTTTGTAAATGAGCTAGGAATTTTAATTTCCGCATCAACGTCTGATTTACTCTGAAAAGGCAATGGTGACTATCTTCATAAAAGGTCTTCAAACGAATTTGGCTCATACCAATACCTTTTGCGTCCACCCTACCTATTTCAAGATAATGATGAGTGTCGCGTTGTGCGCGGAGGCCAAATTTTATCGCAAGATTATGAAGCATGCTAGAAATGTAAGGCCTAAGAGCTAGAAAGAGGCGATAGATCTCAGCCACGCTGATACAGAGCAATTATCACCTTACCGCTGTGAAGCTTTGCGGTAGCCGCAAAGAAATCAATACAGGTGTGCAAAGCATCTGCGCCTTGTGGGATCTCTTTGCTCTCGGACTAGAGCAACGAAGGCTCGAGCTCCTACTCAAGACGGACGACAAACCAATCACGTGAAAACGTCAAGTCCCATTGTGAACCTCTGCGTCTACTAATAAATTTTGCGTTATTTTGTAATTTATGGAGGACATGGTGAATGGTGCCTCAAGAAGAGCTCGAAAGGCGGAAATGGTTGTGACTCGCGATCTCAGGATCACACAGAAATGAGACTGTTATCGAGATCTCTCGAGTGCACTTTTGCTGAGACAGAAAGGGACGACTTTATGTTGCGTTTTCTTTGGCATGATAAGAAAAACAGCTGTGATCTCTTTTTGTGTGTTAAAGCCGGTTGAGCGACCGTAAATGGGCTGAGCCCCAAAATAAAATTAATGACTCATTCTTGTCATGATGTGACAATAACGACGAGGGAGCACGAATTTACGACTGGTCTGATGCGTGAAGCATTGAAGCTCAGCAGGTAACTGACGAAAAAGAATATATAGTCGACAATGAAGTAACTGGGGTAGTTTGAGTCTCCCCTCAATGCAGCCAGCAGTATCTCTTACAGGGCTAAAGGAATCAATCTTGAGGAACCGCAAGGCGTTAAAGCCGTCAGAATAGTAGACATGTTTACAGAGAAGAGATGAGCTCACACCAGTTAAGTACATAGGTGATTGGGGACACTCGGAGGGTGTTGAGTGTTTCGGAGCGTCTAACGGTCAGTAGTCTAATGTATACTGATACCATATGGCATACAAACCTCAAAATCCTAGTCTTGATCTCTCCAAGCTCCGTTCTTAGTTCGAAAGACAACCGTTTCATAGCGGTGTAAGTTCTTAATATTCCGTGGCCGCCTTAAACAGATATGCACGAATCTCTGACAGTGACTCTCATTATATTATCACCGTCTACTTTTAAGGGTCATCTCTTCACAATAGCCTTATCGTTCTATGTGTCATCGCATCTTAAACCATGCTTGACTTCTAAGAGTCATCTCATTATT